GAAACCGTCGAGCGCGGTGGTGCCGCCCGTCTAAATATATTGCAGTCGAACTAATGTGCTGTCGGTGGCTCCGACTTATTAAAACCTGATATTTTAGGTATTGGTTGTGGATGTAAAAACCGTTCGGAATCGACGCCGAAAATACCGCAGTGCACGCTATACTTGCATGCGTCGTCTCCGTCTTACAAATGCACAACATAGTAAAAACTGTTTTGCTAGGGAAAGAACCGAGAAGGCTATAGTCAAAGAAACGATATTTTCACCATATAAAAAGGAGAACTTTTATTGTGCAACGTTGTTATTATTTTTTCGATATCAGAACTGAAGAAAAAATTATTAAAGTTTGAAAACACAAACATTAATGGTTTTTGAAACAGTAAGAACTTTTTTCATACAAGTGATATCAAAAAAAAAAACAGTCTTTGCTATGTTGTACATTAATTGTAAGACGGTGACAACACATGCGGGTGTAGCGTCGTCTTAAGATATAATTAACTAGTAACTAACTGACGGGGATAATTGAATATTATAATGTGTATTATAATAATATGTCTATGCCCTATTGTCTAAACTAGACGGACGAATATAATATTATGTAGTCCTATATAGCCTCATTTCCCTTCGCACATGCCTACTCCAAACAATCCTGTGATTGGGCTTTCGTTGTCAGTCCATTCTATCTTTAGTCCCTGTCATAATAATAAACAATAAAATATTTAATAATGTGCCGTCTTGCGGTCCGAGTATCCGCGGTGGGGTGTTTATTTGCGACTGGTGGTGACTATCGGCTTTAATTTCTATGAGCTATGGCCTATGATATTCGCCGATGGCTATTCACTATTCAGCTGACAGTGTTGCGTGCTAGACGTCTCTCTAGACAAAGCCGCACATTCCCTCGCCGAACAATTTGATTCTCGAACTTTGAACCTCGAAACTCCAAAATGACCAGAAAGGAGGTAAGAAAATACTTCTACATCATAGTTGAATTCAACATAATATTATATTATTTTATTATAAATACTGATGAAAATGTAAGTAGGTACCTACAACGTTAGTTTATTAAATTTACGTACAGTTAAAATGCCATTTAAAATAATTAATATTTTTTTAAAACTTATTCATACGTATTTTATATTTGTGTTCATCAAACAAGTTAATTTTAATTGATAGGTATATTACAAGAAAAATATTAAAAGTTATATTAAGTAAAAAAAAGGTACTTGAGCAAGAATTCTTGAATTTTTTTTATTTTAATCTTTGCCAGTTGCAATACTATCTAGGTAGATGACAACATCATTCGCAAAATATATATTATTTTATACTTACCAACATATATGCACGTTCCCGCATGCTTCTAAGTGTAAATATATTCCAACTATTAATAATGGTAACTATACCATCGTGATAATTATTTTCTATAAAAATATGCATGATGTTCCGATATTAAAGACGTATGGTTAAACGTATGGCATCGGCCTACTTTAAAAACCAAATAGGGACAAATGCTCAAACTGACGCCACTGACTTCTGTATAAATGAGTAGTATTTCAGTTAAGAGGACACTATACTAGCATGTACTGTCTCCATCTCAAACATGTCAAATTGTACGTCCTAAATAATCCATTTTACTCACTTATGAGTTATGATTAATATTACATCTATTTGATCCATTATCAAATTTAGAAACAGTAAGAATATTATCTAGTGAACCTCTTATTATCAAGTTATTTTTTTTAATTGAAAATTGTTTGTGCATTCTAAAATACTCATAACTTGCTTTAAAATCTAAAAAAGAAGATAAATTAATTTTTTTTTGTAATATTATAAAGCCTAAAAGTTATATAAATCTGTTATATAAATTGTTAATACATTTTTATTTTTGTTATACAGATGAACAAGCTGATCAAGAAGTATTTGAGTTTACTTGAAAAAGAAGATCAGGTAAAAAAATTTTATATTTATTCTCTTGGGATTTTTTGTTGTATCTATATACAGAGTGTAACAGGAAGACTTGACAGATGAAACAACTTTTGCTCTAATCAATATTTTTTAGTTTTTTTTTACTGCGTTACACGTATAATATAAAAAATATATTTTTATTTTTTAATACTGAAAATAAAAATTTGAATTTAATTAAAATTTTTTTATAAATTCAAATTAGCCAATTTGTGAATCTGATTATAAAAATAATTTTTATGGAATAAACATTTATCTAAGTTAAGTATTTTATTTTTTAGAATTTTTTTAACATCAATATTTTTTTGATTAAATTAATTTGGAACGAATAACTTTTTTCATAATATTATTTTTGGGAATTTGCTAACATGAGTATATATCTTAAATTATTTACTAATCATATGATTTTTAACAAATTTTGTCAAACGTTTAAATAGCATAATTTTTTTTTTTTTTGTCAGGGATTCCTGTTACACCCTGTAGGTATATTTAAACTTTAATGAAGTGTTAATTGTGTGTATTTATACCGTTCGAATATTAAAGGTTGAATAAGTCCTTTGCCATAACAAAAGTTTAATACTTTAATGGGTAGTTTAATGGAATGCTTTACCCTTTGGTCTTTAATTCAGAAAATCTTCTTACTGAATTCTTAGTACATTCTGTTTATAGGTACCTAGTTAATATTAGTGAAAATTAATTTATGTACTATCGAATTTGACTAGAGAATATAAACTATAGCGTAGCAATTATAGATTTTGACTGGTACAATGTATGTATTGATTTATTTTACATTCCTGTGCAAAATAAAAAAAAGAGATTGGTATCTACACGATAAGTAGTGAACATAATGCTTCAATTGTAAAGTTTAATATTATACAATAAATACAAATTTAATACATACTTTACAGTGACTTACATCTCAATGATGAATTTTTGTGTACACCGAAAAAAAAAATAACAATCATATTGATAAAAAACAATGTTAGATTGACAATAATCTTGTTAATATAGAGCCAACAAGATTTTTGTATCAATTTAACAATACTATTGTTGCACCTTCTGATAATGTCAAATCAATCAATAAGCATTGTTGATTTGACAATTGTCTTGTTAATATAGAACCAACAAGATTTTTTTATTAATATGACAATACCTGTTTCAACTACTGATATTGTTGAATCAATCAATAAAAATTGTTGCTTTGACAATTAGTATAATTAATTGTATAAATCATGATTGTTACCATAATTAAAAACATTGTTGGATTATTATTATTGAATCAACAATAATATTATATATTGCTGTTTTTAGAATTCTAAAAATAGTTGTTCAAATAGTTGTTTTACTTATTAGTTATTGTTAATAATTAGGAATTAGGATTAAATTGTATTAAATTTTAGTTGTATTTCACACCATTATTTTAATTTAAAATATATACCTACTAACACTATTTAGTGCATTGTATATAAACAATAAATATTAGCCTGAGTGCATTGGGTACAACACTATTAAGCATGTTACAAGGAATTATAATTATTTAAAGTTTAATGCTTTTCCCCACCTTAATATAATTAATAATATTACATATTATTATGTACATTGATCACTGTATGGTATATATTATATTGTATAAAAATAAAACCATTTAATGAATAATACATTACTCTAAAGTGACTTGAATAATAATTGCTTGTACATGCTTTAGTTTTAAATTAACAGGAATAAGGTAAAATCAAAAACAAGATTAAATTTGCTGAATTAAAAAATTGTGTATTTGAAATTATTTGTAAAGTTAAAAATTCATATTATTAATTGTTTAAATCTGACATTATTTGTCCAAGAGTGTGGCATGGAACATCAAACTTAGTATTGATGGAAAAAAAAAAATTTTGAATAAACAACCAAACTAAAACTGACTGTGGTGGATATTCTATATTAAATATATGAAACAATTTAAATGTTACATCTATGGCATGTTAAATGGAAAAAACTTTATATTTTATAGAGTCAAAATATACAATAATTTCTTGTGGGTTCATAGGAGTACTAACTATACCATAATAAAAGGCTGTATTGGAGATTTTTTGCTACGACGGATATTAATGTATTCTTCTATTTCACAAACTGAGTTTTTAAATACAATGAAGCTATTCTGTGAATCTTTGATTGAATATTTTGTCTGATTTTTTTTGCCTGTGTGATCCCTTGTGACTTTAATCGATGTTGGTATGTAAGATTGCATGTAATAAATAAAATATAATCGTGTTCTTCCCATCTGAAATATAAACGTTGAGGAGCGATATGTAGCCAATGTTATAATTGGTACATTGGAAGTAGACAACCCTGAGAAAATTTGACATTAAAATATTAATTTCTGAAAAATTCTGATCTGTTCTGCCACCCTGTGTAGGGCATGTGCCAAACAAGTTATATGCACCATTTTTGAGTAAAGAACTTGTAAAGATTTTCTTGCTTTCACCATATATGGCGCTGCATCCGACACGAAAAGTAAAACGTTGTCGTGAAGTATGCCTTCAGGCCAGTGGCGCCCAAGTTATATTTTTCAGGTGTAGCGAGAAAAAATTTTAACCACCCACCCACCCACCTCTCACAAACTCCAAATTAATTTTATACATTTTAATTTTATCATATTTTAATTGATAATATTATTAAATATTAAGGTACCAACCAATATAATCTGTGTTTTGTCAGAATAAGATGTATTCATTTTTAAAGAGATATTATACATTCATTCTAATATGTAACGGACATTATATTTTTTAAATTTATTTAAACCTTCAAAATAAAAATATTAAAAAATCTTGTGAAACAGCTTACCTTATTCTAATCCTCACTCCTCAATGTTATTTTTATAATACATTGTGCGGTTGTGGTAACATAATATTCTTTTATGTTTAAGAACCAGTTATACCATACGTTATACTATAATACTACATATTAATAATACAGATATGACTGTTTTGAGTTTTACTGTTAGTTTATTCATGAAATATAAGTAATAACATACACCTTAGTTATTAAAATTAAAATGTAAGATTTTTAATCAACAATGAAGATTTTAGACTAAATTTATCAATTACACATGTGTAATCAATATCAATATCTTGCTCACAATTTATCCTCATCAGTGCTTCTAGTCTGTCATTGGACATGGTAGAACGAAGTCTGTTTTTAATAATTTTAAGTTTGGAAAAACTTCTTTCTGTCTCTACACTTCCCACTGGTAATGTTAATGCAATTTTATACATGGTAAATAAAGTTGGAAACATAATTTTAAGAGAACCGTGATTGCAAAATAATCTGAAACAAAAAGTTTATTTTATTTAGGAAATATTCAAATAATCAAATACCTATACATAGCAGTTAATATAATATTAACCGACTAACAAACTATTCTTTGAAAATATTTCAATTTGGATAAAGTAAATTAATGTATTTATATTTATTTTTAAATTTATATATTTTATAAAATATTTATTATACCTGTATATTAAAGTAAGACTTCCATGATTTTTTATGTTTTTTTCTGATGCATCATTATCTTCTTTGTTTGATATTAAATAGTTGTCATTTTCTGAATCAAAATCCTCTTCTTGACTTATATCAGAATCTTCAAAACAAACTGCAGTATCTCTGTTATCATGAAGCATATTTGGCAAACTTTCACATTTTTCCAATAATTCAAAATAGTTACAAAATTCTTTATACTCATGTCTAGCATTATCTGGTTGAACAAATTTTGAATAAATTTTTCCAAAAACGTCAAAAGCATCTACTGGAAGATTTTTAATATTTTGTTTTACTTCATTCAACCTTTTCTTAGACAAAAGACTAATATCTTTTAATAAACCAAGGGTAGATTTATCAGGACTTTTTGAGCTATTTGATGAAGTATTATTGTTACCAATGAACCTTTCTGTTAACTGAGTTATTATACAGTCCAGAGCTGAAAAATATGTGTTAACTTTGAAATATTGTATAGGGAGAATTATTACTTCATCTATTGCGTTTTCATCAGCCATTTGTTTTCGCTTACGAGATCTATGTTGAGGTAAAGGTTCAAACTCGTAATCACTATCTACAATGAACTTTTTTGTTTGATCAGAGATTTCATTAAATAATTCATCTGTTCGAAGTTTATTTAAGGATTTCAAATTGTCTTCAATTAACATGGTAGCGCAGTAAATATCAAAATCTGGACTTTGCAAGTGTTGAGATGTTTTATCTAAAATTTTGAACATATTTTCAAAGCTATAAGCTGTTAACAAAAATATTTCCGATGTAAAGTATTTTAGTAAGCCACCGGCAGTGATGCCACATCGTCTGTCCCCTGGCCCTTCTGTATCTCTAATAACTTGAAGTGTTTCAATCAAAGCATTAAATGTTTTGAGTACAGTGCATAATGCATAGTAATGTGACATCCAACGTGTAGTAGTAACTCTTTTAAATCTTCTTATTGGTAATTTTGGATTGATTTTTTTTTGATTTTTTTCATATAAAGATACTCTTTTTTTGCTCGAACATACAAAATCAAAAATTTGTTCCAAATTTCCAAATAAATCCATAGCATTGTTACCCGAGGAAACAGCATCAATTACAACTAGGTTTAATCTATGGGCCCAGCACCATATATACACTGCACTTGTATTTTGTTCGTTAATAATTGATTGTAAACCAGTATACTGTCCACGCATACTTGCTGCTCCATCATAAGCTTGCCCGATTAAATAATGTTTCCAATCCAGATTGTGATCAGTACAGACACCACGGACTAAGATATACAGGACTGGACACGACAAGGTTGGAGGGTGTGGAGGGGTTGACTACGAAATGTTTTACAACAAGCAGTGTTCGGGGGGGATATTTTCCTTTTAGCATTACTAGCGCCGCCCTAGTGGATACTTATGAAACTAGAACACATCATACAAATTTCTAGTTCCATAAGTATCCACTAAGACGGCGCTAGTAATGCTAAAAGGAAAATATCCCCCCGAACTCCGCCTGTTGTAAAACATTTCGTAACCACAATATTCATCTCGTGTCCAGTCCTGTATATCTTAGTCCGTGACAGACACTATAGAAAAGTTCAGCTAAATCCACCCCTCGTGTGTTCGAAGATTCTTTTAAAGCAATAAACCGTTCCTTGACAGTATCGTTTTGAACATATCTAATGACAAAGGAAACTTGTTCTTTTCTTGATATGTCAAAAGTACTATCGATTGATATGCTGAAAAACCGAGCATCAACTATTTCTTCATCTATGAATGTTGCTATACATTCAGAAATTGTATCAATTAATAAATTTTGTTTCCTCCAAGAGATAAGTGAACATTCACTTTTGTGTTTTTGTATTTTAATTTCGGTAATATACTGAGCCATAATAGGTGAATATTTGGAAATAAGTATAATAAGATCTTTAAAGTTTCCTTTATTTTGTTCGTTCCATCCTTCACGATGTCCACGAAACGCCAATCCGTGTCTACCTAGGTATAACGTAATATCAATTAATTGTTTCACAATTTCACGATTTTTGAACACTTGTTCTTTTTTACGAGATTGCAATGAGGGAATTATTGGTAAAATTGACTGTCTTAACAAACGTTTCATTGAACTTGCTATGTGACTCTCTGTACACTCATGACGTTCAATACCATTTAATCCTCTAGACCATGCGTTGAAACCATTTTTTGTCCATGCAGTATTCGGTTGGTTATCAGAAGAAGAAAAAAACATACAATCAATACAATAAATATGGTCATTGGTAATAGAATAGCTAAGCCAATTTCTATTTTCAACACTTTTTCCATCTGGAAGAATTTTTTTGTACCATTCAGAATGAAATCTTCTACCATTTTTATTTATTGGAAATTGTTTTTTATTAAGAGAGTTAGCAGTAGGTTGTGATGGACTTATTTCTAATATTTTGGTAATTAATTCATAATTTGGATTCTTCAGTAAACATAGTTTGGCAGGATCATTGTCCAATGTATTTATGTTAGTATCTGATTTCTGACCTAAAATATGAAAAATATTATGTTAACCTTCGCCATAACATATTGCCTACATGAAATTATTTTGAAATACCCATAATTTGTTAAAATATATGATTATAATATTTATTTATTAAGCTCACAAGCAATTCTCTTTATAAAACATAATCTTAATTGTTTTGCGTGTTATGTGATAAAGTATAGAAAATGTAGAAAAGGGAAAAGTATTTTTTGTTTATCCTGAAAAGTCATTAAAATGTAACATAGATTCCTCTTAACAAATGCCCATTCAATTTAAAAATGAAATATACCTACCTGAAACTTGTGGAACTGAGTTAACTGAACCTTCGGCAAAGACATTACTTAAGTCTGGTTTATTAACATCAACATTATTATTTTCCTCAGAATCCACTGGCTTTAAAACTTGTTCATAAACTCCAGAATCGATCACAGTATCAACTTCTAAATAAACAAATGTTGCTTTAGTTATTATTGTTACACATAATTTAGGTACATTAATAATAATTAATAATGTTTAAGTCCATATTAAATATATCAGAAATTAAAAATCTAAATAAGCATTGATCATACTGAAGTCAATTTAAATTTGAACAAAAAATATTAAAAAAATTAAAAATACCTGCGACTTGTAGAACTGAGTTAACTGAACCTTCGGCGAAGACATTACTTAAGCCTGGATTATTAACTTCATCATTATCATTTTCCTCAGAATCAACTGGCTTTAACACTTGGTCATAAACTCCAGAATCGATCACATTATCAACTTCTAAATAAACAAATGTTGCTTTAGTTATTATTGTTACACATAATTTAGGTACATTAATAATAATTAATAATGTTTAAGTCCATATTAAATATATCAGAAATTAAAAATCTAAATAAGCATTGATCATACTGAAGTCAATTTAAATTTGAACAAAAAATATTAAAAAAATTAAAAATACCTGCGACTTGTAGAACTGAGTTAACTGAACCTTCGGCGAAGACATTACTTAAGTCTGGTTCATGAACATCAACTTTATCTTTTTTCTCATAACCTGATGGCTTCAATACTTGATTATTAACTTCTGATATTTCTACATTAACATTTCATAGGTATAAAAGTTAATAGGTATTTTTTATTGTTATTTAAACTTTTCTCTTATATATACTACTTAATATTTATTAATTGTATTTCATTATTTGATAGTGTTGACACATTTTTGAAAAAATGTAAAAAAAAAACATTTTTCAAAATTTTAAATTATTGATTTCATAACCGAACAATAAACAAATAAACTTGACTTTTGCAAATACTTGTAATTGTTAAATTAGTCATAGTATGAAAATTGAAAACTAATTTTAGTTTAATAAGTTTTAATATTATGTTATACTTTTTAGTGATTTATTATTGCTAATACCTAGTCTATGACAATTATTGAAAATGTTAAGTTAAAAAGTTACAAGGTACATAATTACCTTTCATAATTTTTTTTTTACAACCAATTGAAAAAAAAGAAGTAATATCAGTATTCTTTGATTTAATTTTTGATGTTTGACAGGTATCTAAATGTCGCATCCAGTTAGTATCATTGATATATTTTGTTTTTAATTTTCCGCAATCACACTTTTCAACCATCTTGAATGCGACGTCGAAGATGAAATTTGTATACTATCTATAAAAAAAAACACAGTACCTATTTACCAGGTATTTATTATTAAATAAAAAATTAACAATTGTTCTCTAACTAAAATTAAATAAAATTAAAAATTGACATATTTAACAAACTATTGGTAATATATAATACTTTAATTAATATTAGGTACAATTTATAATCGTAGGCAGGTACTTACCGATTTTACGGTTTAATGAATTTAAAGAAAAAAGGCTGCGGGACTCTCCAGGCTGAACTGTATAAACTGGATAAACCAGATGATTATATATTTATTCTATCCACGCTCAATAATCAATACTCAATAGTCAATACTCAAATGAAGGTGAACGGAATGAAATTACACAAAACAATAAATTAATTAACAGACAAACAGATAAACAGTTCATACTTTTACAAGTATTAACAGAAACACTTAACACTGTGGCACTGTCACTATGGAATGGAATTATTACAAGGAATGACTGTAATAATATTGTAAAACTTAGGTTGATTTTGGTTATTTTTGGCCACACAATGACGACGACGTGATAACGTCGATTACAATATTTATTAATAATTTTAATAATATACTACCTACTATAGTACTCTAAAGGCACTATAGGCAGTCTGCATTTGGTTGGCCGTCACCCGTCTGTGTGAGTGTCATACATCGTTTTCTGGTATGCAATAAAAATATAATAAATTTCCGTCAGACATCGAACACACGTTTATTTCTTTTTCGCATTTACCAATAATTATTACTATAGCGATTTGTGACTATCCCCAGTCCCCACAATATTATCATTTGATTAATGATTTTCGAGTATTATATAAATAGTATACAAGTCGGGCTTATGACTACAACTATTGAACTATATATAGGTACAGTATTTATAACTATGACAAGGTTGCGGGGGTTACTGTTCATTTCAAACGGTTTACGAAATATGAAGCATGAACAAAATACAATAACATTATCATTATCATTATTTTATAATAATTAATAATGAACATATTTCAAGTTAATTATTTTATGTTATACCCACCCACCCCTTATTTTCAAGGTGTAGCGACCGCTACACCTAGTAATAGGGATGGGCGCCACTGCTTCAGGCCATAATATAAAAAATCTGTCAAATAATTTAGATATAATAGAGTAGTTGGCTTTTTCTAACACCTCTGAGTTGAGTAGGAATATTTTCTCAGGGTTGTCTACTTCCAATGTACCAATTATAACATTGGCTACATATCGCTCCTTAACGTCAGTAGGCTCATCTATTGACACTCATACATTTTTGTTCCTGACGTAATCTCTAATTTTAATAATAATATTTGTATAGCATTGATCGATATAGTTTTTTCGAAGCATAGACTCGTCAGGAATAATTAAATTTGTTCCATATGTTTATGCAGAAAATCGGGAAATATTGGTATATTTAATTAAGTGGAGGGATATTTGAGGACAAAAAAACATTAGACAGTTCTTCGTTGAATGATGACTTCATTGACATACCTGTGACTAGAAGCTGAGATTTTGGTTTTTCTTGTTGATTTCTAATATTAAGCTGCTGGATATGTTTACCTCCAGCGATATGTTGTTGAATATTATATTTTTTTTCTGCAGAAACTTTAACACCACATATTTTGCAAAAAAGTACAGTATTGTCACAAGAAAAAATGTCTTCCCCAAATTCTTTCACAAAATTGCGAAGACAAGAATTACAATTTATAATTTTCGGCATTTTGTAAGTGACAATCGGTAAGAATAACGAACTGTACTGTGTTACAACGAAAACTAAACTGTAATTCTGAGTAGGTAGATAATTTCCAGTGCAAGAGCATATTTTTGTGTTTATTGTCGTATCAAGATAAAATTATCTACTATATACTGGTTTCTAAATTACATCGATAAATATATCCATAAATCAAACATAACGAGATAAAATCGATTACAGCCATTACCTTGGAAAACACATTATTTAATATGAAAATAAAAATTAATATTTCAAACACGTTTATTTAGAACACATTTTGAAAATATTTTACAAAAATGCCCAAAAAACCATAAATATACAAAAAATGCAAAAAAAGCAAAATAAAATGTCGTGCATAGTATAGTAGTATAAATCGAATTTGAAACTGATATAGCTTTGTTTTAGAGTAACAGAAAAAAAGTCAAATGCCTTCAAAATTCGTACTCTACTTATAACATACTTTAAAATAAAAATAAAATATAAAACCTATGATGCACTAGAATCTATATGAGCAGTTCTCACACTTTTTTTTCTCTTACTATTGCACTACTGAAGTATCAATCAGTCGCGTTCCACTAATGATTAAAAATAAAACGATCCAAATTTTACATATCTAGTTATAACGAGTGTTTTGACCTTAATAGTTTCAACGGTTTCAGGTCTTTAAAATATTTTTTTAGGGACTTAGGTTAAATCTTGCCAATTTATGAAGTTCAAAATTTAGGTTCCAGTTAAAACCGGTATCTAACCTTTATTTTGGTATATATTTTTTTTCAAACAAAAAATGTTAATACATGGAATACATGTATGCAGTTGTATGTTATACTTATTTAGATACTGTGAAAGCTTATATTGAAACATTTGAAATCTCACAAGAACCTGTGTCATGGTTAAAAATTAATATTTAATATACAGTTTATAATAATTGATGGTTAAATTTTAACATAATTATTCAATTTATAATTTTATATAATTAAAAAATATTGGACACTAAGACTTACTAGTGTCTAGTTACTAATCTATTCAGTGTTTTGTTTTAATAAAAATTTAAGATCAAATGTACAAAATACATATAGTAAATAAAACTAATTAATAATTTATTATAATATAATATTAAGTTAATCTAGTAAGCTTCAAAGTTAACATAGGTTTAATAAGACATAGAATTTCTTTTGCGTTTTAACCCTGACATTGAAATATTGAATCAG